CCTGATAATTCATATATTGAACTGGATCCTGTTCCTTACACCTGCTCTTCAAGTTCACATTCAAAATTTCCATCCACCTTCAGATTTCTAATAGTTTTATTGGGACACAAGTCATCTAAAGTACATAACTCAGTGGCTCTCAGTATAACACAGAATAGTTACATTATCAGTGCAGTTGATTTTATATCACTTTTATCACTCCAGAATTAAATCCCCGCACTCCTTACTCACGATTCCTATCTTGCTTCCCAAGAATCACTAGTAGGCAACTGCTAAATTACTTTCTCCCTCTTAGATCTCTCTATTCTGTACCTTTCAAACCTATGGATTTATAAAAGATGTGGCGCTTTGTGCGTGACCTTTTAATTCAACATAGCATTTGAATATTCATCCATATTGTAGTATGAACCAGAATTGTACTCCTTTTTACTGCTATATAATATTGCATTTTAGTTACATACATTTTGTCTATTTACCCATTAGTTGATAAACATTTGTGTTTCCTACTTTTTGCCTCTTATGAATGATGTCACTCGCTCTATTTGTGTATAAGTGTTGTGTGGGCATCTTTTATTTCTTACAGTTTTATAGCAAGGTATGGAACTGCTGTTATATGGTAACTGCTAGTCTTTTAAGGAAATACAAGAATGTTCTCCAAAACAAATGCACCTTCTATCAGAATATCACCTATAATTATTGTTATATTTCTCTTTACTACAGTAATTCTATTTCATATGAGTGGTATCTTACTGAAATTTTGATTTGTATTTCTATTATGATTAATTATATGAACATCTTTCCATATGCCTATTGGTACTTGAATCTCTGCTTTGGAAAAAGATGTCTAATTGTATCCTTTTTAATTGAATTATTTTATTCTTTGGATTTTAAAAAATGTTTGATGCCTTAAACAACAAAACAGTGTCAATGTTTGCCTCACTTATCTATTTGATGGTCACTCTTTGTGTTACTGTTATACCTAAGAGACAATTTCCTAATTTGTGGTCATGAAGATTTATGCCTATTTGTTCTTCTAAGAAATCAGTAAGTTTATCTCTTACATTTAGAAATTTCAATCTTTGGAAATTAACTTTTGAGTATGATGTGATGCAGGCTTTTTAATTTCATTATTTTCCATATAAACATTTAGTTTTCCCAGCACCATTTATTAAAAAGAATATTCTTTCCCCCAGCAAATTAATTCTCTTGGCACTAATTGCTGATTTTCCTCTTCATGATATGTTTTTGCTATATGATTTCTGACTGTAAATTTTGGCACTTAAACTTTTGCGAGTGAACTGGGGACTGGCTGGCCTGACAAGGTCAGTTATTGCCCCAAAGTGGTTGTTTCTTTCCAGCTGCTCCAGCCCCAGCCACAGAGACTATCTCAGCTTTTCAGTGGTGCAACATTGAAGTTATAATTTGCTTCCCTTCTGGTCCAGCCCATAGCAAATTAATAATCCAAGTTCTTCAAAAGTTATCTCTAAAACTTATTCTATTCCTCTGATCTGTCCCATGGCTCTCTCCTTGCTTTTGGATGCTTGCTATACACTTTTGGTATTTCTGGGCTTCTTTTGCCTCACACTGATCATCTTCAATTGTATTGTGTGTTTGTGAGTGTGTGTGTGTGTGTGTGTGTGTGTCTCCCACACTCTAGGATAACCACATCTCAACTAATTATTTCTGCACTCACCCTATCTCCTAAAGCCACCTTCTGATTCATTAAAAATTAACTTCTTAGAAATTTGAATCTTAAGCAAAGATTGTGCTAGTAGTGAATGCATAAATTTTGGAGGACACAGTTCAACTTGTAGCAAAGACAGATGACAAAAGGAGTTTAGAGAACCTTAGATAGAAAGTCTCCATTTTCCTGATGTTGAAAACTTCATTGTTCATCTGATTATTATTCCAAAAGTTCATTATGTTCATAGATCAGGGTCCCCCAGAGGACAGATTCCAAGACAGAGATCCACATGTGGGAACTTTTTTGAACCATTGCAAAGGTTTTACTTGTATAACTATTTAAAGAACTCACAGATTCCAAATAACATACTCATGTAATAAGTTTATTTAAAGACAAAAGAAACAGTGTCATTAAAACAAACAAGTACAGGTACACAAGGCTATCATAAAGACCTCAAGACACTAGCTCCAAAGGGCCCTTATACATTCAAGAACCATGCTTCATAACTGGATCGAACCAAGGTCCATGTAAGAAATCTCTGTTTTGGGAGCACTCAATGCAGAAAGTTCAATAAAATTTTTATGTCTCTCTTGTCATGCTGTCAAGTCAGACTATTTAACTAACTAAACCATTTGGAAACCATTAGTAATAGAAAGTGACCTTGGGTGTTGGCACAGAAATTGCAGACTTTCAACAGCATGTGATAAATCTCACTGGCCTCATATAGGCCAAGAACCAAGACAGACATCTAAATATCACTAGAAGAAGAGTTAGGAATTCCTCTGCATTAAAGCTGCAAATCAACTGTACCCTCTATAAGATTATTCCTGTGATCAGCACCCACCACATGGGGTGTGAATTGAAGATGATTGGGGTAGTGCTGCGATGTAGTCGCAACAGATCATCAGCCACTGGCTGTTAGACCATGGCACAGTCTTCATCTAGGTGATGGCCCTAGGCAGACAGTTTTTCTTCAGCCAATTTCAGTACCCACAGAGAAAGTCAAGTGAAAGCTAGACATTTATAAAACACACAGCATCCAAGGAATGGGAACCTCAATCCTGCAAGGGCAATGAGTAAATTATTACAGGTACAAAACTGTACTACAGATAAACAACTTTTCTTTCCATTGTATATTATACTTTAATGTCTTTCTTAGAAGTTCCCTTTTCACTTAAATTTTTAAAGTTGGTGTATGTTGCTTAACATCCATAAAATTTAATTGATACCATGCCTATATAAATACAGTTTCCAACTTTTTTTTTTTTCAAAATGTTTGTGTCTGTTCTCTTTTATTCCTTGGCCAGAGTGACATACTGCCATAAATTGCAATCCATTTCCAATCTCTTTTTAATTCACTCTACCACAAGTGAGTCTATATTTATCTTTATATTCCAAACTGTATCCATCAGATTATTGTCAACATAGAAGGTCCTTAGTAAATGTTGAACATAAGAATAGTCATCTCATGACTCCCGTGTCATGGGAAGAGGTGAGAGAGATTAATGTTTAATACAAATGTGCCCACATATGAAGGACAAGGATTCAGAAAACAACCAAAATGTCTAGCTCCAACACTAGAGATAGCTATAAATATCTCAAGAATCCAGCAGCATGTGCCAATTTTAAAGTGGTCAGCATCATCAATCCCAAAGGTGATAACAGACTGGCAGGAGGTTTGCAGTACAATAACAAAGGAAACAAGGGCTCACAGCGCTGCAGGCCACAGGCAGCTGACCAGTTAGGCAGCAAGCACTACTTATATTCAAAGAAAAGGACTCAACCTCTGAGTTGGTTCTACTGCAAGAGTTGAAGACTGTAATGGTGCTAGGGTTGAAGTTCAGTGATAGATTGCTTGGCCAGTATGTTCAAGGCCCTGGGTTGGATCCCCAGGACAATGGTCCACCTCCTCTAAAAGAAGAGGAATAACAGACTACCGGGTTTAAGGAAGGAGGTCAAGCTTTCAGGCTGTTTCAGGGCAGCATTCTGACTTTGAACATAAAGGGGAAGAGGGTGAAATTTGAGCAAAGGTCAAGGCAAAACATCTATGTCCATGGATGTTGGACATAGAATGAACTGTCCCTTGGAAGAAACACAGTTATCTAGGCATTGAGATTGGAAGAACCAAGTCCTAGACACTGACAATGAGATGCAGGGATAATCCAAAAGTAGGTAGAGCTCTGGAATTGGCACAGTATAAATGTAGTTTTGGCTGTTATGCTAGAGTCCCGACTATAATTATCATTACTGTGGTCAAAAGGTCCAAGTTTAAATGACATGACACGTGGTCACTCCAGTAGCCACGTTGTCTGGAGAATGGGAAGGCCAATAATTAGAGGCTTAATTTGTACAATCTTGGCTTATGCTTAGGAACTTCCAGTTAATCATTTGAGAGCAGAGGGAACACAATAGCAGCAGCACTGTGGAGAGGATCGAGATAACAAGGGAAAATGTAATCCAGGACCCCCTACCTAAAGAGAGACGCACAGACACCCTGATGCCCAAATAGAGGTTTCTCTGTGTGTGTGTATGTGTGTGTTTGTGTATGTGTGTGTTCTAAGAAATATTAATACATAATATGTCCTTCACTGGCCTGGTATTTACTTTTCCTGTATATCTTTTATATTTTCCCATCAGAAAGTGGCCCTGTTGTTTCCCAAGTGGATCAGTAGGATTTGGCTTAGATTAATTTAATTGAAGCTGGTATGGTGACTGAAAAGAAAAAAGCTGAGCATCCGGTTAATATGATGGAAATGGTCTTGTGACTATGGTGGAAAGACAACATTCAATCATATATAAATTTCTACCAAAACAAAACTATATAAATCCAGGAAAATTATCCATTTTAGTAATTTGTTTTAATTCAAGTGAATTCTATAGTTTAAATTTAACATTCCCCACTCTTGGGAAGCCAAATTCTTTAGAGATTAAGTATCTTAAATCCTTAGGCCAAGACAGAGTCCTTAATTGAAATATAATCTTATTCTTTCTCTTTTCTTTCAAGGGGTAAAAAAAAAAAATTAAAATCACTATATTTTCTTCCCTTCTAGTCCTAAGAGAGGTTTCCCCATTCATGACATAATTGAAGTTTTCAAACCTAAAACATTTTTAAATCGGGAACAAATCAAAGCTAAATAGGGTCCCTTGTTAGGCTTGTGGAGGACAGGTTCACTGATGCTCTCAGAGGGCTCAAAGTAGGACAATGTTGCAAGAAACCAGGCTAGAAATAAGGGCAGGGTACCAAGGTGGGAAGAGGGTTAGCAAATAATAGCCCAAGAAAACATTCACCAGAATTTGGAAACTTTATAATCAGGGTGGATATCAACATTTATTTAAAATTTATTTTGAAACAAACAAATGAGTAAAGAGAAATAAATTCTCTAAAATATTGTTTCCTGTACTTAATTAACTTTAAGATAGGATAGTGTAGTGCTTAGAAGTCTGAGCTTGAAAATCAGTCCGCCTAGACCCAGATCTTAGCCTTATCTCCTACAAAGTAAGACATCTGATCAGTTTATGTAAGCTTTCTGAGTTTCATCAGTGTCATAAAATTATGAGAATGTGTCTGATTTTTGGCTCCTGAAGCACTTATTTTTTCTTTTTCTTTTTTCATCATGCCTGGAAAAACAAAAGAAATTTCAGTGATTTTCACATCTGGGAATTACATATTTAAGGTTTTCCACAAATTGAGATAGTTTTGTTCATTCAGGTTTTTCTATAAACTCACTTCCGGAACTCCTTTTCAGTTCTCTCTAGTTCAAATAATTGTTAACTTTCGCACATGTGGGCATATTTATCCATATAGTCTGGACAACAGATTTGCTTTGGAACTCTGCTGCTTCTGTTTCTAATGTGGTTTTAGAATCCAAAGCTTGTTCTTCATCCTGAGCCGTAGCTACATGCCACATGCTTTTAATGAATAAAACAATCAAAGCCACCTGTGAAATATTTGAGAATCTGATAGAAGAATGGGTGTAGTTACTGCTTTACAGCTTAATTTTTAGAACAGTTCCTCAAACAATTTTAATTCTTCTCTATTTTGATTAACATAAATATAAATATTATGAAGTATCCAAAAGTATTATTCAGAATATTGAAGTATATTAAATAATAGGACCACATTGAAAGAGTTGTAGGATTTATTATAAGTAACATCTCTACTCTATTGTATACAAGGGCACGTAAAGATATCAATTCCAATATTTGTCTGGAAAGATACAATTCCTTTACCAAAGGAAAGGATTTTTAGTAGCTTCATTCACTGTTTCAAAGTTGTTTTCTCTTGGGAATAAAGTGGGTATGAGCTGACCCATATTTGGGAGTTATAAAGAAGGTTAAATAAAATAATGTTCATATAGTACATATAGTAAGATGTCTGATACTATTGCAAGTACTCAATAAATTATATTTATTATCTTAAAAGCCATAAACCCTACTATTATGTCAAGGTATATTTTAGTAGTATTTACAAAATTTTTTAAATGTATCAATTTAGAAATCTGGAAGTTAGAAAAACAAACTATACGCTACTGATGAAGTACTGGTATATTTTGTTCTAGAGCTTTAAAATAGTTCTTGTCACTTTCCAAGTTTCTTTTTTTTTTTTAATTTTTTAAGTCATCTTCCAAATTTTGTTTGGGCCCAGTAAAATTTTAAGCTGAAAATAAAATAGTAAAGTCGTCATTTTCACCAAGAGGATCTAACGTAGGTAAAGTAGCTAAGTGGAGACTGCAGTCTAAATAAGCAAACCAGCACAGGGCAGCAACATGAGTTTAATAACTGAAGGAAACAAGCAACCACTACTAACCAGGAGAACCAAAGAAAGCTGTTAGGGAGTTGCAACCCTACAGAGCTGGAACCTTGACCTCTGAGAAGGTGGCATTTGTCACTGCTGAGCTGTTCCCTTTGCTCAGAGGATGGGTGCTCAGAAGATGGATCAGACCTCACAGGAGAGGTTGCGACACAACACCCTGAAGTTGACCTGGAAGTGTGAGAAGGAGTTAGAGAAACTGGAGCTATCAGACCACCCTTTCTGAGGTGGGAGAAGGCTGTTCTCTCAAGCACTCTGAGAGACAGTAAGCAAACAGAACCCAACGTGCCTCAAGGGCATCCTGTTGATATTTTGGGCTAAGAAGCACTTTGCAAAGAAGAAATGCAGTTTGTAGAGACCTAGATCCAGATTCACCAAGCAAATTACAGAAAGTTGTGTTAAGAATTGAGATATAGGCTGAATACCTGGTACATCATGTCCTCACAATTTTACACTTTTATGATTTATCTGTTAGTCAAATGAAAAGAAAAATCGTTGTGTAATTAATTTTATGCATTTTGGTGCATTTAAATCTGAGAATAGTATTTTCTTGCCTTTGCTAAAAGCAACTCATTATTTGCAAAAATATTGTATTATAATATTTCATACTTCACATTTCTTAGATATTATTTCATAATGTTCAGGAATTTAGGGTTGCAGAAGAGAGATTGAATGCTACATTGTTTTTGTCTTTTGTAGGTAATCTGTTTTCTTTTTCAATTCTTTATCAAGCTAAGTAGTAACTACTAGTACATGTGCAATGGCCTCAGGGACAGCTTGATTTTAATATAGTGACTCCTTACATTGTTTGAAATGGTATCATTTGAATGGTTTGGAGATTTGTTCTCCTATTTGATTACTGCATGATTTCATTGGTTCTACTTTTTTCTTCAGATATACATTTATATATATATATTGGCTTGCCAATTTTGCTCATATGTAATAAATATACTGTAGTATAATATACAGTAATAAGTTAATTATTAGCTTCATGCACTTTTCCTTTGATGGTTGGAAGAGCTATTCAAATATATCCTTGATTCAATTTTCTGCCATACCACTTTTGTTTCGTACTGTTGCCACATTTTCATTTCCCACAATTCTTCACGGTTACAACTCATCCTGTTGCTTTCCAATACATTTTATAAACATATTAATGTCTCTTCATAAATATCATAGCCACTTTTAACTTACTGTAAAAGCCTGGATTTTTCCTGAAACTTTTTCTAGATTATTTACTAATTTTCAGAGGCTCATCCTGCCATTAAATCTTACATTATTTTCATTACTTATTTCCTTAGTTCTGATATTGAACGTTTTCTTTTCAGATTTTTTCTCCCCAAATGGGCTTTTATGGTCAAATTCAATATGTCCCATTGTAGCTTATGAGATGGTTTTGTGCTGTTTTCTGGGACAAATTCTCTCAAAGGTACATCACAAGGGCAAGCCTCTGTGCACAGCTCCCAGCCCAATTGTTAATTTCCCAAAAGATTTCAAATCATTCTCCTCTGAGATGAAACCCTTTAGTGTACCCATTTCCTAGTTTCTGTCTTTTGGAACATAAAACACACAGGAAACCTTAGAATTTCCAGCATGTTTTTCTGTCAAAGTTATTCACGTTTTCTCTCCCCTTTGTCTAGACTTAGTTGTGGTAATGACTCCATCTTTAACCCTCGTATTCCTAAGGATACTTTTCACCCTCTAATCCCTTTCCAGGTGTTTTTATGGATTTGCTGTCGCATGGTAAAATATATGGTCAGAAATAGAGAAATTCTGGCTGCTTCAAATGTTAATAGAACACTCAACTGTATAATGAGGAATTGATATTAGAAAAAAAAATGAAGCCAGGAGTATCAAATTAGGAATGACTTACAGTGTTGTTAGCAATTTAGCTTCGTGTGTATTTAACTCCAGATTGTCTAGAAACCACAGCACAAAGCAGGGATTATTTGGACCACATGAACCAGGACAGCAACAGTGAAATATAGAAAAGTGAGATAAGAAAGGATGCAAAATAGTACAGCAAACTGAGGCATGAACATTTTGACCACTGCCTCACCACCATGGTCTCTCTGAAGCTCCATCAGCAGATATCTCTGTTGAGCACACTGAAAGGTACAGGAGAGTTGTATGGAGAATCACGCTTGGAGAAGCCCACAGGATTTAGGAAGAAGGTCAGAATTTGCAAATTCGAACACTTTCCTGTTGTTTGCTTCCCACTGGACAAAGTTTACTCATAGAGAAATTAACTCTATCACGCTTCCAGGTCACATCATCTGTTTGGTTTCTGTTTTGTTTTGCTTTGTTTTGTGTGTGTGTGTGTGTGTGCGTGCGTGTGTGTGTGTGTGTGTGTGTGTGTGTTGGTTTGGTGTTTTTGTTTTGTTTGGTAGCTGTTCAGAATCCCTCAATCTGTGGCCTAAGGTATGCATTGTATTTGGGACCAGGAATAGCAGAAGAAACTAAAAGTCTGATTATTTAAAACTGGCCAGTTTTGTTGCCCAGCAGTAGCCAAGGGGGAGGACCCGGCATTCTTAAAGCCTTATTGGCTGCCCCAGTTGAAAGCAAAGTGGTCCAGGAAAAGGGAAGGCCAAGGCAGTCAGGGATAATTAATACAATGTGCATGATATAATGTGTCTTGCTAGTGATACTGATTTATTGTTGATTCTTGCGTTACAGCACAAATTTGTGTTAGAGCACTTTGCTCTTACTGTTGTTATTACTTTATAGCAAAGCCGTTATGACATATTGGCATCTAACTCATGTTTTCTTTAGTGGGAAGTTTTTAGTATGAGTTAGTGGGAAATTGTCCTCTGTTAATGAGAAGATGTGAGAATAACTTTTGAATTTTTTGTGAATACTTCAAAGAAAAATAAGTTTTTTTTTTTAACCTATCTTAATTTGTAAATAACAATTACCAGTACATCAATTTTTAAAATTGTTCTAGCTGGTTTATTTTTAATGAAAAGTGAACTCTTATTTGGTAGTTGACATTGTTTTAATTCTTTTTCAAATAAAAAAAAAAGGATACCGAATAGTTTCTCTGGTGTGAAAAACTATAATAGTACATAAGATCCTAATGAGATAATTGACAATGTGAAATAGGAAGAAAAGGATAAAGGTGTTGGGAAAGTGGAAAGGGTAGGGGAAAGGTAATAAGGGAAAACAAAAAATATGAGAAAATAAAAAAATGGAAATAAAGTGTTTGTAAATGGGGGGGTGAAGGGAGGGCAGGGACATGGGGAAAAATGAGAAGCAAGACCTGTCATGTAAAGGTACAAGATCCCAGTAATGAATGTAACTGTACTGTATACCTAAAATGTACCAATACACTCAACGAGAACAAAAATGTATTAATACGTAATGGTAAGGTTCTCACCATGTTGAAGATTGTCCGTCAAGAAAAGTAATCACATATTTCCTATCTTCATTATTTGTATGTCATCTTGCACAAAAAAGAAGTTGTATTAATCTAGCAAGAATAAGAAAATGATTATGAGATAGTTTTCTAGTGGGCAGAAAATGATTTTCAAATAAACCTTTACACTAGCAGTTATTTGAAGTATACATTTAGAAGAAATTGTAAATTTCTTTGTCCAATATTCCAGGGAGAGAAATAAACATATACACATGCTCTGTGTCCCCAAACAGTTACAGAGACAGTTCTTTGCTGGGTTTAAGAAAGTAAAGGTAATTTATTGCCTAGGAAGTAGGCCTCTTAAACAACAATATGAATAAAATGAGCTTTTTCCCTTGCTAATATTTGCCTCGTTTTTATTTAGTTGCATTCGGGTAATTTTGATAAAGTGTGTAGATAAATAGAAGGTTTAAGGGGTGGAGGAAGAAAAGAGAGAAATCATGTCCAAGAGGCAAAGGGAATGCACAGTGGAAGGAAAGGTAGTTGAGCAAGGTACACGCAATATATCTGTCAGGTATTGGAAATCAGAATTAAAAATAGAAGTACCTAGTTACATCATCACTATCCAACTAATACAAAGAAAAGCACTTTACTGAATCTAAAAAAATTTAAATAATCAAGATATTCAAAACACATTTTTCTACACAATTATTAACACTTTACTGATCATCAAATGAAGTAACCTTACTGATTGTATTTTTCATCATAAACAAAAACAATTTTCCTTTTTACCAAAATGTGTATGCCTAATCAATATGTCTACCTGACCAAAGTGAAACAAAGGGTATGTGGAGGAGATTTGCTGTACATTTCCTCTCAGACTCAGTATGAGCTTTGGTGAAAGCTGTCTTCATGTACAGCCATTATGATATCTCATTTGCATGAAAAGATTCCCTCACAAACTAAAGGCAATAAACTACCTGGTCATGTATATATACAGTGCTGAGGCGAGAAGATGGAGGGCCCTGAAATAATGCCAGAAGAGCTTCACTGGACAGGAATGCATTCTGTAACTAAAACTTTTAATAGATAAGATAAAAATAATGAATAAGTTTGGTTTTCTCTTTAAAATATGCTTTAGCTGAACTTCTTTTCACACACCTGAGTAGTCACAGGTGTGTGTAATAATTGCCTCTTGGCATCAGCTTTTAGGAAATCTACCAGGACAACTCAAACAAAAAAATGTATATTCTTACAAAGAAACTTTTTTAAACCAAATGCCTCGTTTCACTTGTTAAAAAAGACGCTAACAGGCTTTCCCAGTTTTTTAATATTTCTGGAGGTAGAAAGAGGTTTTCAGTTACTCGACAGCTACACCTTATCTCACACTGCAATTCTCTCAGGCAATGCAAAGGCGTTTTCTGTCCTTTCACAGTGCAGTTCACTTGGAGACAAAAGCAAGAGGAATTTGTTTCACTTGAGCTATTCCCTTTTAACATATGCTTTCCAACTAACTAAAGTTATCTTTAAAATTGTAACAGTCAAAAGGGCATCAGCCATAACCATCAAAATTGTTATAATTTTTTTACCATTATACTCTTCAATAGAGGAACAAGAACTTTGTTAGAATTTGTTCATTAATGTTCTAACATTAATATATATACATATATATAATATATATTTCTAAAGGTACCTACAAATTAACAATATTAAAAGATACCTGATTTTAAAATAGCATGTTCAAAAATTACCTCTTATGAAATATGACCACTGGAGAAAAACTAATTCTTATGTTGCCATTCTAAATAAGAATATCTCATTGGCCTTGCTGTTAAAAGAACAATAGAAGAATAATTAGCTCAACTATATATTAGTCCCAGCGAGGGAACCCCAAAGCCCACAGTAATTTTGACACAGATGTATGCCACATGATACCTTTATTATATGCTAATGATATCTGACCAAGAAACATAATAAAAACTTTTTAAAAAATCAATTAGAATAATTTCATTATAATAGAAAAGCTTTCTGTTCACCTTAAGTTCTCCTAATATTTTTGTTAATTTAATTTTGTTCTGTACATCTGTGTTTTATGGAGTAATTGAATGTGCTTGACCGCTGACATAACTATTTTAATATCTCCACATGACCAGGTGCAGTATATCAAAAGATACAGAAAAGTATATAGTAAGCTAAGAAAGAATTCAGAAATTATTAATCTGTTCCCCATGCTTGTTTCTGCAGTGAATAAAGTTATACTATACCTTCTCTTGTCTTAACAAAAATTTCATCAGGAGGTACGCTAATGTACTAGCCAGGAAAAAATTTTTAGTAGTATGGTGTTCCCAGTGATTGGTTTGAGTCAACATCAGGGATGCAGCTTGTAAATGTAACAATATGTGTGTTAACCCAGAAATGTGGGAATTACCTTACATCCTATGTTCTCCACATTGTTTCTATTCTGCTGGACTAAAGGTCTGTGAGCTCAGAGTTTTTCTAGTTTGTTTACCAATGTATATTTGGAATCTAGCATTGCTTCTAAGGCCTTGGCAGTATTTATAGAATATACTTATTACTGAATAAAAGAAGAAATTAATGTTAAATTCTGTATTGTGAGGAGCTGTAAAGAAGATATCCATTCTCAGAAATATTCCTCATATATTGCCTACCTTGGTGCCTTTCGCTACTTAACATGAAATCAATGTATGTGTTGCAGATGATGGAAAATGATGAGAATAATATTTATTGAAAAACAGTTTTTAGCCTTCAATCTACTTTGAAATTACTTGGGAGAGTTAAAAAAAATGCATATTTGCTTGTGTCCAACTCCCAACAATTCTCTTTTAATTAGTCTGGTGTATGATATGGGTGATGAGATTTTTCTTTAAAGCTCTTCAAGTAGTTCTAATGTATCAATACGATTGAGAACCACTATTTTATACGTATCACAGTGACTACAGTGAACAAGGGAAATTTCAGAACACCTAATTTACAATTTTAATTTGTGAAAGTTAAAAGAAGTTTTCCTTTTAAAGCCAACTGTAGCTAATGTCACACCTCCGTTCTATTTCTGCCTGACTTAATAAGCTGAGCATGCAGAGGCATACACACAAATACATCCTTAAACATTTTTCTTTGTTCATTTATTTGTAGTTCAAAGAGGCAAGGCATTAAAAACAAAGGTGTCTTTAATCAAAAGCACCAATTTGGGCCTACTCCTTGAACAGAAACAACATAATTAAGTGCAAACTTTAGAACTTCAATGAAGAGGTGAGGAAACTCAAATGAGACTACTGATTCCAAACCCATGGTCTCCAATAATGTCAAATCATCAGAAGCTATAGATAAGGCTCATCATTTTTCTTCTCTACTGTCTGCTTGTCAGCCTGACCATTCGAGAGTTGAACTTCAGATTGTTTAGCTATTTAAAGTTTACCCCCAAACCCTGGAAGGAATCCAGTCACAAGTCAAAGAACCTAAGGGGTCATGATCATATAATTTAGAAGTCAGCCCTGTGCTAAAATATGACTTTAGGCTCTAGGTTCAGTAAATTAATGTCTGTCTTGTCCTCAAATATGTAAACTTCTGCTTTGAAAGACCTTCACTTGAAAATGAATAGTCATGTGAGCAGGACTCTTGTTTGGCATCTCCCACTTTTCAGGAATGAGAATATTATAAATCATATTTTAAGGTGATTTATTTTTATTTAAAAAAAAAAGAGTATAGCTTTGGGACCAAGATTACCAAGCAGCAGTTGATAGCCACCTGTGATACTTACAGTTCATGGATGTACAGATAGCCCCCACAAATCACATAGCAAAACTGCTACCGAAGGATCTCAGACAGGTATGAGCTGACAACCACCCAATTTGACAAGTTCAACAAATATGCTCAGAGTATGAGTTTAAAGCTGTTATTTTCCAAAGTAAACACTGGGATACACCACGAGGGTATATCTAGGAGTAAGAGAAGATACTTGGTGTCACAGACACTGTATCCAGAGGTAAATAAAATAGTCTTTCCTGAGTACTGTACTCTTTCGATTGTCCATACCACTAGTAGTCCTTCAGGTTTTTCTTGTTCGAAGTGCTGGAATTGTACTGCTGCACTTCAGAAGAGAAAGTGGCCTGATGCCAAGAATGTTTAAAGTAAAAGGGAAAAAATGAACTTCTCAGGACCTGGGCAGTAGTTGAAACAGTGTTTAATCTAAATTTTTTCCATTTATTCACTGAGTAAAATGGGGAATGTATTTTCTTTTTTTTTCCAGCTTTGAGCTTATTGGTACATTTTAGGGATACAGTACAGTTACATTCATTGTTAGGATCTTGTGCCTCTAATGTGTTTTCTGTAAAGAATTGTTTTCTCACCCGTAAATTGGGAAGAATAATTCTTCAACATTTTTGTGACAATTCAATTAGATCATGCACCAGAGAAGTAGGTATTAAAATGTAGTTCCTATTGTAAAAATTATTGTTGTTGCTAAGCATAAAATTTTAGTGCATGAAAACTTTGTTTCTTAAAAAGAACCTTATTTGTAAATTTCTAAACTTTCCACTAGCAGTGAAATGTTTTTCAGCTATTCCACTCAAAAGATGATGATGTCTCAGCGACAAATACAACAGGAAACATTATTTTCTAAAAAGAAAGAAAAGGTAAAAAGGTGTTTTCAACTATTTCATGCTAATTTTTAAATACTTATATTCCACAGCAGGATTGTTTCATTTCCAACAGTTCTTCTTATGCAACTATCAGGCAGGTTAAGAGTTTAGAGCATAGTTATTATGACAGGGTTTTTTGACAAGAGCAATCAGCTATTGTTAGCAAGTGAGAGTTGAAAGGATTGGATTGGTCAAATAAAAGCACTTAAGGCTGGAAATGCAATTGAGAAAAGGTACCAGTCAAAACACTGCCAAGGTGATTCATGATGTTGGAATGTCATCTGAATTGGGTCATAGGAAATGTTGGTTATGGTTTACAGCTCGAATTCAATTTAGATTCTGATAATCTAAGATCTAATAGAAAGTTCATAAGCATGTTCATAATAATGACCTTAAAATGCTGTTGAATGTTATCATTTAGAAAATGGAATATAGCAAAGTTGCATTATAGTTCTGGTTCAAATCTTCCATTGTCAAAAGCTAAAATTTATACATATATATTATTATAAAACAGATTTTATTTTGCATGATTTATTTTCTCGGGTTTCTGCTGTGCTTTCGTTTATATTGGATGATTCCAAACTCTCTTTTGGCTTGTGATATAAGTGAGTGATTTATTTGGAGTTATAGGAATGTTACTCATATATAATGTAATCACAGCATTTAAAGAAATCAGCAAATCTAGCATCTGGTAGCTCTATCAAAAGAAGACAGCTTGAGATGGCTTTTCAAGTATTTAAAATCCTTTGATTATAGAAGAGATTATGTACTGGGTCCATGCTCAAAGGAGAGGGAATAGGGGACATTAGGAAAATAGTCGCTGTGTGTAATTCTGTCAGGTTACTATGATGAACAGGTTGGTGATGATTCTGAGAAAGACTGGGTAGGAAATTCAGAAAGGCTGTTTCTAAGTGCTATCAAAGTACCCCAAAATATAAGAATTACCCAACAACATTCATTTATTAATCAGTGAATGCATAGTAACTGCTTTCCATGTAATACATTATGAGTGGGAAGTCAGAGAGATCAAACTGATGACATTTATTGAGAGTACATTGTGTGTCATGGCTTATAACTGTGACCAGAGTCAGCCTTCTTAGTCTTATTCTGCAGCTAGCCTTGGCCTCCATTCCACAGATAAAATTAATTGCACTATGGACACGAATTCAGCCTTCATCATAGTGGGTCCTTGCTCTCCTGAAGCTCCGGGAACTGAGAAATTCGAGGGAAGGGCTTATAGCCATATCTTAACAATATTTTTGATGGAATTCAGAATGAGAATATATATCACCCTTTAAGGTTTTTTTTTTTAATTTAAAAAAAAGTGTAGCTTTGGGACAAAGATTAACAAGCAGCAGGGTTGATAGCCACCTGTGATATTTACAGTTCATGGCAGGAGTAGACCAAAAGTATGATAAAGAGAAGTGTTGGGGATTGCACTTAGTAGAAAACTAGTGCTTCAAGGATTAGAGCCTAGGATGAAATAAAAAAGGAAGAAAGCTGAGAAGCAAAGCTAGCAAAATGAACTGAGAAGCTCATCTTCAAATTCATAGCCCTTAACATTCATTCAGTGTGCTTACAGAGAGGGTCATAGGTTTAATTGGTTTAATTTTCTAAATAATGTCCAAGTAATTCTGATATCTAAACCTCAGGCTGAAATAACTGTTCTCTACATCACGAGGAAACTTTAAAGAATTTAAAGCAAAGATTAAGGTGGAAAGGAAGAGAACCTAACCTCACCCTAATTGTGTCTTGCAAATTGAGAAACTCAAGCTTCATCTAGAAACGGTAAGATCTGCTCTGGGAATAGATAATTGACTACTGTGTGGTAAGAGAATAGACCTTAAGAGATTACAGTTCACATTTTCTACCAGTTAAATTTCTAACTAGGAACAAAGGAAGGAAAAAAGGCTAGCACACATAAGTATGTAGCATGGAGAGTCTATATTCTGCACAAACACTCAAACGGAAGATCACAAAGGGAATGAATTCCAGCCACATTTGGCTCTCCAGGGGCAGGTCCCGGCACAAGGTTCCACCCATCCAGCAAGGTGTCTTTCTGGTTTTTGCTTCATGACACATCAGGGCCAGAGTTGGCCTGACAGCAAATCTCATCGCAATGAACCTGACTTTACTGTAGAAGGCTTGACACATTTTAGATCCTACTTTA